ACTAAAGTAAAAGTTTTCTCAATAGAAAAAATACAACATTTAAAGAACACAAGAAAAATTTATGTCATTACGGATTTACAAGTGAACTTCAAAAATATTTTTAAATGTTTTGACCAAATTATAAAAACAAAAACCCAACATACAAAATAGACAAGAAAGAACACAATACACAAAAGTAAAAATACAATATTTCATAAAAATAAGCAGAAAGTTTTCTAACAATTATTTAATATTTCACATATTTGCTGCTATTATTTAGACATTTATCCTAGGAGATGCCAAATGTACAACAAAATTCTTGTAAAGTCTTTAGGTTGTTTCTGGAATTATTTCTCAACTCTCACATCATTGTACAATTTGAATAATTTTCCCAAATTTATCCTAATAATTTTGTTTACCAAAAAAATTTTGTTTTCCAAAATTATCTTAATAATTTTTAAAAATCTTAATAATTTCAAAATTATCTTGAATAAAATTATCTTAATAATTACCTTAATAATCTCCAAATTATCTAACAACAATTTTTTTTATTGTTACATTTTTTCATATGTTTTCTTTATTGCTACTTCTCAATCTTGCTGAATGAGTTCATTCACTTTTGCAACAACAGAATCTGTGATGTGCTTTAGTGCACTGCACCTTTCGTTATCTGCCAAGATACCATCTGCTTTAAAGCACTTGCTCTACTCCTTTATTATTATAACATATGTTTTCTATTTTTTTTTTTCTTTTTTTTTTTTCTCCATGCACTTTAAAGCCCTATATTACTTCCTAACACTTTTTCCTTCCTCCCCCCCCCAAAAAAAAGAAAGAAAGAAAAAGTGCACCAGTTCTCATTATTATTTAAATGCTTCCATGTATTATCTTTGAACTGGCCTAAAGTGTAACTAAAGGTCTCTGGATTGTTGCTGCTTCTTAGACATGTTGGCAGAAATGCCTGAAATACATTTTACTGTTTCGGTTTGCCTTCGGTTAATTTTTCATGTTTTGATTGCCCCTTATAGATATGCAAACATAAATTAAAATCACATCATGCTCATCTGTTCATACAATTATTTATTTAGCACAAATTTAATGTGCATATGCATAACTCTAAACCATAGTTTCAGAAATATTTCTGAAATTTTCAGTTGGTATTTTACTTTTAAAATTAAGTTTCACATTACAGAAAAATTGTATATTTTCAAAATAATTCACTTTAAGTTTGAAGACATTCTATTAATATATATACAACTTCCAATGCCTTTCCAGTTGAAGATGGTATCTGAAATAGGTTACTTATTTGTTCAACAGATGTCAGTATTTGCCAAGCTCCTTTTATAATTCTATCTTGTCACTATGCATGCGCTGTCTGTGTGAATCAAAAGTATGTTTTCAGGGGAAGCTAAAATGCACAAACCTGCATGCAAATGCAATCTGTAAATAAGTAAATTTTTGTAAAATGGTATTCTTTATTCTCTAATATGATACACAGAGTATGTATGTGCAAGGATCTAAAATCTGATTTCAAATATATCATGGTAGTGATTACCACAGATGGTTTTGAATTCTCTGTGATCTCAAAATGCTTTAATTCTCTATGAAGTTTCTTCATTTTTGTTGCTTAATCAGTCTTCCAAGTCTGAACAATGTTTATATAATTAACCAAAGTTGCAAGAAAATTAATCATTGGAATTAAACAAAGAGGTAAGAAATACATGGATGATGGCTCTACTAATATTCAATAATTCTGTATCAGGACTACTAAGCTAAGAGCATTATTTTACCAGGATATCTCACTAAATAAAACGCTACAATTTTACTGCTAGTAATTTTACAGAAACATTATAATTTTACTTCTAGGCACAGTATTCTGGAAACACCTTATTTAAATTCATGTATGTGCATTACATTACTTATGTAACAAAATTTAAATGAATCATACTGCTTATAAAATCGAATATATAAACTTGAAAAAATCAATTTTGAATTGCCTAAGAATGAAATAGAGCATTATTAAGCTAGAATTACAAAAAAATATGGTTGATCTTTACATTATGGTAACTTTACGTTTTTTTGGCGAAAATTTGGCGACCAACTCTCCTACAGCAACCCTCTATTTTTTTTTCCCGCCGCCATTTTGTCTTCATGAAGTAAAGACATGTTTCTTTTCTTTTTATCTACTGAACACTTCTTCCAACAATCTACTAGCCGAATTACACTTATGCTAGAAATTTTATCTAACAAAACTGCTTAATCATGACAAATATTCATTGCAAAATTGGGAAAAAGTGCACAATACCATACTCCTTACGCGTTTTTCAAAATAACACATACACATAAACCATGTACACGCCGACTTACTTTTACTTAAAAAAAATATTCCAGAATTGCACAAAAATGGCATTGCACACACTCTTCACTATATCCATGTACACTGCTTTTTTCTCATAAATTAGAAAAATTTCACGAAAATACATGACAATTTTCTCAATCTTTAAACCCGGTAAAAAGAACATATATGAAATTACCTGATCGCGAAAAAGTATTTACCCTTTCCAAATATGAACATTTCCACATATAAAATAAATAAAATATCCCAAAACCTCTAAATCATCTATTACATTATACACGTCACCAACGAATTCATACCGCAAGCATTACAAATACTTAGTATCAAAAAATTTAAATTATTTCCATGCACGTTTACTTCAACTTAAACGTGTGTACCAAATTCCTACAAACATAAAATTCACAAAATAACTATCATTTAATTAAAATATCACTAAACCATGTACACGTCCACTTATTTTTACTTAAAAAAAACATCCCAGAATTGCACAAAAATGGCATTGCGCACACTCTTCACTATATCCATGTACACTGCTTTTTCTCATAAATTAGAAAAATTTCACGAAAATACATGACAATTTTCTCAATCTTTAAATCCGGTAAAAAGAACATATATGAAATTACCTGATCGCGAAAAAGTATTTACCCTTTCCAAATATGAACATTTCCACATATAAAATAAATAAAATATCCAAAAACTTTACCTCTAAATCATCTATTACATTATACACATCACCAACGAATTCATACCGCAACCATTACAAATACTTAGTGTCAGATATTTAAATTATTTCCATGCACGTTTACTTCAACTAAAACGTTATACCAATTCCTACAAACATAAAATTCGCAAAATAACTATCATTTAATTAAAATATAATTAAATTCAAAAACACTACTTAAAATATAAATGAGCACATACATTAAATTAATACATACATAAATACCCATTTCGAATTCACTTTAGTTACGGCCATGGGATCCAAAAATTCACGAACACTGTTTCACACAACACAGACTATAAAGCCAAATACAAAAACTTCCAGATTTTTTCCCGATTTCCCCCCTTTTCCGATTAAAGAACCGTAATTCGTCCATTAATATCACATGACATATCCCATGATCTCTCATTTCCCTCACACAAAATAATGCGTAATCGGAACTGAGTACTGCTCACATTATTACCAAAGTCCCAGGTAGTAACCTTTATCGCCTCCAAAATGTCGCCAAACTACCAGTTACCATATTGTAAAGATCAACCAAAAATATGAAAAAATTTGAGTTAAATCAGAAGCAAGGTACTGAAATACCCCAATGGAAGAAAAAAAAATTCCTCGCTTTTCCATTGTTTTTGATTACATGATTTTACATCATATGCTATCTGACTGGATCATGTAAATATCTACTTCATTATTTACATTATATTAGGCAAAACATAAGGTGTTCTGAGTTTTCAGATACAGCAATTTAAAGTTCAGTTGAAACTTGGATCACAAATTCCTCTTATCACAAACAAATTATCTGAACAAAAAAATATCTTGGGTAGCAAACAGCATGTCATGTTATGGGGCCAAGTTGGTAACAAATGATTTTTTCAAACATAAACTGAAGTCACATTTGAATCAGAGTTTAAATGCAAAGACTTTTTGAAGTATTTTAATAATCTCTACTGGTTTGACTCTCATTGAGAAATAAAGCAAGTATCTTATAGTATCATGAACATGGTTTGAGAAAAATTTGGGCCAAACTGCATAGTGTGCAGATTTTCAAGATTTTGATGTGGAGGATTTTTTTTCTGTTAACTATGAACTATGGTAACAGAAAAAACAAAATCAACAGCTCACAGCAGCAATAGGTGCAGCAAAACCAGCAGCTTAGAAGTTAATGATGAAGATGGAAATGAGTTACTAGAGGGCCATTAAAAGGGCACTGACATAGATGATTTTTTCTGTTAGCTATGATAACAGAAAAGACAAAACCAACAGCTTGCAGCAGCAAAACCAGCAGTTTGGAAATTAAAAATAAAAATGGAAATGAGTTTATCAACAAGAATTTAGAAGGCCATAAAATTGAGCTCGGCAACAAATGATTGGAATTGCTTCAAAAGCAGCAATAAAAACCAGTTGCATATAAATATTTTCAGAAGAAGTCCAGTGAGCACTCAGCAGAGTAAAGTGGTGCTAAATGGCAAAGAAAAGGTAAAAGAAAATGCAACAAAAAAACAGTTATCTGATTTTTTTTTTTATGGAAGCCAGTCCTTATTTAATCCCTCCAATTTCTCTTCCTCATCACTTCACTGTTCATTCTCCTTTATACTGCATCGTAAAACGAAACCTTCTTTTAATCTGTTTAATACCATGTTTATTTTTTGCTTTAGATTTACTGATGTCAATTAGTTTTGAGATATGAACTTGAGCATAAACTACTGTAGTAAAATTCAAATAAGCAATCATCTATGAGCCAAAAATGAAATTATCAATTTTACATTAATTCCTATGGGCAAAATAGCTACAGTTTATGAATATTTTGGATGATGCAAGATAATTCTTTAGGAACAAATTACACATGTGGGCCAAGGTTTCATTGCATTGAAATATTCTAATACAATGTTCACATAAATTGTGTATGTGTGTAGAGGAATTAATAAGACATAAATTCTAAAGCATTACCAATTCATTGTCTGCATCTGCAATTATTTTAATCCATTCTCCGAGAATAGCAAAAATCTGAAGTATAATTTGCACACTCTCAGCTGCTTTCACAGATAAAACATAACCTATAAAGGAGGGGGGAAAAAGAAAATCACAAGAGAAATAAAAGGCTTTAAGAATGCAATAAAATTTATTATAAAACATGTAAAACTAATATAAAAACAATAATAATAAAACAACTTAAAATCGAGGGAAACACATTCAGATTTAAATATGCAGACTTAGACATAATAACTGCTAATTATGCATTTTGCCATCAACCCTTTTTGACACATAAAAACTATTGCCAAACAGAGCAATTTACCTCCAAATAATAGTTAAGCATGATATCACAACACACTAGCAAAAAAAATTTTTTTTGCTTTAGTTTCAATTAAACCTGATCCTCAAAGCCAGGCAAGTTTTCACAAAGAAGAAAGTTACTGCCATTTCTATATTCTCTCTACTTTTTTTAATAAGAGAAAAAAAAAGTGCTGAATGGGTTTTAGATTTTAGCAATCTCCCAAAACAGGATTTTTTAAGGCACCTAATGAATGGGTGAACCTGGTCTGCAACAATGTTCACATACTACACAGATGTCAAGAATTGTTCTATGGGAATTATGGGTCCTAATGTGCTCCATGAAAACATTGTCCACACCATAATACCCCCGCCACCAGCTTGTCTCTGTCCAACTGTGCATCAGGGAGCCAGGGTTTCATTTGGAAATCTATACCCATCGATGTGATGGATCAAGAAACATGATGTACATGCCCCTGATGGACCAGGAAACATGATGCATATGCCCATTGATGTGATGGACCAAGAAACATGATGCGTCAGACCATGCAATTTTCTTCTGTTCTTTTAATGTCCAATTCCGATGTTTCTTGGACCACTGCAGATGCAGCTGGCGATGATGTGCTCGCAGTGCAGGGACATGCTTTGGCTTCCGGCTGCCTAGGCCCATACGCAGCAATGTATGCTGCAGAGTGTGTTGAGAAACACTATCGCAGCTGGTGGTGATTTCGGCTGTTGTAGCTCTTCGGTCATGGCGAACAATGTGTAGGAATCTCTGCTCTCCTCTGGAATCAATGCGCCGCCGATGACACACTGCTGGCCAGGGACTTGTTTGTCGTTTCCCGACCCCATACACCACTTTCAATACGTGCTCACAATAACGGCACGTGAACAGCCCACTAAAAGCATCGTTTCTGATATTGATGTTCCCAGTCACCAAGACGTAATGATTTGATGTTTATAGCTTTCAAATCATTATGGCTATGGTATAATCATTTTGACGATTTGATTAAAGTCTTTGATAAATCAGCTGCTTTTCACATTATGTTGCTAATTGCAATATGTTTGGAAAGAAAATGCATAGCCGCTTTATATACTCCAACATCAGCCACACATACACAGTGGTTTGTTCCTGGGTGAGCCCATTGTTATAGATCGAGAGTGGTCATAATGTAATGCCTCTTTGGTGTATATGACCCACACGGAGCGACTGACTTACTATAAGTACACCTATTATTCCAAAAAACTTTATTATGTGAAACAGATTTTACATCGTATGGTATACGAGAAAGCGTTTTTTGCATAACACAACATTACACATTGAGCAACTCATATTTGTTCTTATCTCTATGCTCATTTCGGTACAACAAGCACAGCGGCATCCATATTTTCCAACTATTGGAAGATGATCCCCAGCATTCAGGAGCTTTTAAGTACTTTCTAACCTAGCAGTAATTTTTTAACTTTTAGTGGGACATATATGTCCCATTAGTAGTCAAAGGCTTAATTAAAAATTCATTAAAATTTTACAAAATATGAAACAAAATTCAAAATTCCAGCTTCCAAAGGGCACATGTTTGGGTGGAGGAAAACAGTATTCAAAATTTGATGGCTTTAGGTACCATCGTTTTTTTCACAGCAAGAGGAACATACCTACATACTACATGCAGATTCTTCATAATTTAATTTTTGTTTAAATAATGTAGGGTGATAACATTTGGTAGCAACAATCTAAAAAGTCTTACAGCAATTTATAGTGGATGATGCAAAATCCTGTTTCAAGACATAGCCAAAGCATTTTTAAAAGTTGCGGGACTAGTGGAATTTGGCAAAATGTCACAATAAAAGACATCACTTGCATTTGTACTTAAGCGAACCAGTATGGTACCGAATTATAAAAGTGATAGTTTTTTCCTGTTTTAAACTCTATTAGGGTCTTTTGGTGACAGAAAGATTGGCATTAGTTTGAATGAATTTGTCAGAAAATTTCAAAACATGAAATCATATTTATTTAAATTTTTATATGCTAAAGTATAATTTCTATCTGTTGATTATCTAATCATACAAAGAGCAATTTCAGCAAGTATTGTTTGACAATCACATTTGAAATAACATAAAATAAATTTCTTAACCCTCACTCCACCCACCTGCAAATTGTTAGGGATGGACAAATTGGATGCCACTGAAAAACATACTTCAGGTGTGTACTATCCTGCAGTACAGATATAACTGCAGAAACTCAATATATTGTTTTGACATCCTGACAATTGTCAGCAAGAATTTCCGAGTATCAAAAAGAACCAACTAATACATCAATAACAGTAGCACATTTTTAGTTACCTTGGAGCATTCAAATTCAATAATTGAATGGAACAAGGCCAAAATCATCAACAAACCTCACATAAAAGCAGCCTTAAAATCAGATACTTTCCCTTCAACTTACCATATATCTATCTGGACATTGATTCTGAAAAGTACAGTAACCCCACAGAAAGCAACAAAGGAGGGGAAATTTGATCAAGGCATTCATTCCAGCTTCAGCTAACAGGTCATCTGCAAAAGTTCCTATTTTACTTATATTTAAATGTGCTTTTAGCATGTCAACCCAGAACATTTTATTTTGTTTCTAATTTCCTTCTGACTGCATATGTTTTTTAATGCTTCAATATGAAAGATCGACAGATATCAACAAAGCTGCTACCATACCATTCCTTAAAAATCATTTAAAAAAAGATATTTCAAAATGCCAAATTATGTGATCAAATCAAGACCGGATATTTGAAAATCAAACCTCATAAATACTGACATATGAAAAACATCACAAAAATTTTAGGCAACCAGTCCATTCAATCATTAGAAATAGAATCTATGAACATTAGTCTCTTAACTCTCCAAGCTGACTTCCAAACCCTCAGCTGCTTGGCCCTAAAAGGCCATGACTAATCAGTATTTTCTTGATGAAAATTAAAACCTTATCATTTTTCTACCTTAGATCTTTTTCTTCCACTATATATACTGTTTGGACACATTTTAAGATGCATGTCTATATACTTAACGATATCATGATTAACATTATATCAATAATATGGTCATATATATATATATTAATTATAATTTATTTACTAAAGAACTATTGATTATATTAATATTAATTTTAGTAAAAGTATGAAAAAGATAATTCTACTAAAATTATTATATATATATATAATTTTCAATTTTTATTATTTGATTTGTTTTTGCAAAGATTGCATTACATTTCTTAATTTTCTAATGTTTATTTCAGTTACTTTAAGTTCTATTTCATAATTCTAATTACTAATGTTTAATTTTTTTTACAAATAGTTTTGAATTAAAATGCATAAAAACGAGGGTGTCGGGGGACAATTACTCAAGTATTTTATCAATACTCAAAATTGTATTAGCGAAAATGCTTAATAAGAATGAGTTCTTTGGTACTCTACTTTGGTTCTAAATAAGTTTTCTTTTTCTAATCGAAATTTTGTTATTCATGATTTAATTCAAGTCACCGTAAAACATTTTTAACAATTTACATTCAAGTTACTTTAAAACAATTTTTGGAATTAAACTTCCAGCCTATGGGTTCCCTCTTTTTAGATACTTCTGCTAAAATTAATATTAGGAGATAATAAAATCAATATTTCTTTAGTAAATAAATTATTATTATCTTACTTTGCAGCTATTGTGCAAGTATTAGAATAACTTTTTTTCGAACTAAGTGAATTTAAGATCATACAATATATATATATATTATAAACTAGGTTGTAAGTACAATACTAAAAAGACCAATTTTAGTCAAAATCTTTTGCGCAATATGCTGCAAAATTAGGAAAATGAGAAGAGAAATTGTAGTTAGCTCGCCAAAAAGTTACCAGGAGCTGTGGCTCCAAGAAAAAGTTCAACACAGTTTTTTAAAAAAATTACATTGAATGAGGTGAAATATTAGTCTACATGCGAAATAAAATGTAAATTATAAAACACAGTAAAATACTTATTGTTGGAAACAAGTTAAAGGCAAAATATAAAACATAGTAAAAAACCAATCGATGGAACAAGTTAAAACATATAAAATTAAAAAGCGGAAAATGGTAAATTAGCTCAATTCGAGGTCCACCCTGGCTTTTCAAGGGAAATTTTGGTTGAACGTTGAACCAAGTTAACTCCATTACGCGTTTCGCCGAAACAGACAATTGAAATTTTGCGTTACAAAATTTTTTTAATTAATTAGATAAACTGTCCTAAAAAAATTTTTTTTAGTCTCAATTCTCTGTTCCAATTTCCCGACGCATCCGCATAAATTGACACATTAAGGTGTAAAAAAATGTAAATGCAACTCCGATGTACAGCAATAATAAAAATAAAAATAAAAATAAATAGCGGTCTGCTATTAGTCAAAATATACAATAACGTGTGGGCTGTATCTGCAAGCTTAAAGAATTAAAACTTTATAAATGAATCTGAAATTAAATTTAAAGGAAACCTAACAGCATGGGTCTTGTTAAGACCAAGAAAGATTTTTTGTAAAAGAAACATAAAAAACAGACCTGTGGTTATGTCGTCTTCTCAATCGTGGAGCCAAAAACAAAAAGAGGTTGTAATTCCCCTCCGTGCTTTTCAACGCTCTCTAACTCGTTGTGTGACGTATGAAGGGGGAAACGAAGTCACTGGGCAACAGCCAATGTAAAGAGACTGTCCGTTGGCGGGAACCCGACCAAAAGTTGAAAAGGGAGTCGAAAGACTCGGAAAGACGTGGAAAAAGTTCAATATGGCGTCAGTCAAGTTGTTTTTAAGAAGAATTGCAGCAAAAAGTGAAAATGGCTAATTCAGCTAAAATTACTTAACATGGCCACAATAGTAAGAGAAAAATGAAAAAAACAGTCATTTGTTAATAAAAGTCGTAATTCTTCAAGCTAGAGGGCAATCGAGCTTCACGAAACGAAAAGGCCCGTTTGTTAATAACAGGATTAGATTTGGCCATCAAAGTAATTTAAAACTATTTAAACAATAGTATTAAAAGTATTGTGCCAAAATTTTTTGGAGGAAAGAAAACGTAGTGATAAGAATTATCTGTACATTTATACATTAGATTTTCAGAATCAGTCATTCACTTTATACCTTCCCATTGGGCTTTAAATATAAAATATCACTATCTAACTCAAAAAATCTAAAAATTGGTAAGGCTAATGCCAGCTTTTTTTAAGGTATTTTTAATTATTTTTTGTGGAATTAGGTTATTTTTCAAGATTGTCACGAAGTAAAGTATTTCTTCTTGAAGGTGTTTTGCTGTATTGCAGATTCTTTTTATTCTACAGTGAAAAGTCGTTAATCCGGACTCGTCGGTACTTCGGCGATTCCGGATTATCGATTTTTCCAGATTATAAATCATCAGTTTAAATCTCGTAAGATGGCATGCAGAAATTCTAAAATTAAAAATATGAAACCTTAATTTATAAAATAAAGAACAATTATAATCTAAAGGGTATCAAAATTTACAAAAAAAAAAAAAAAAAAAAAAAAAAAAAAAAGCTTAATATTTATTTGTTTACTTTATTAAACATTTCTTTCAATGTAAGTTGTTTCAAGTTGCTTCATTTTATGTGATAATACTTTCTCTTTAATTCTATAAACAGACACAATTTCTTGTACAGTTACAAAGTTCCGCTGTTCAAGTCCCGTTAATTGTTGTGCCGAGAATACCGACTAACTTGTCAATCGAAATTTTCTTCGTTTTCACTAACCTCTCTGTCACATTCTTCATGTCTTTATTCATTTTTTGCGGCAATTCCACTTTTTGTTTGATGGACATCGAAACATACTTTCGTTTTGTATGATCCTTTGGGAGCTTCAGGATTGGAAATTCTATTTGACATAATCGAAAGTTCAAGTTTACTTTTATAAAATTGCTCTTACAGTCTGCAAAAAATAATAAGCCGGATCCGATTCGAAGATTAAGGAACAACGCAATCATCAACATTAACTGAAACAGATAATTAGATAATTTTAGATTATACCGTCCGTTATACATAAAACGCACACGCGAAAACGTATTCTGCACTTGCGCACCCGCATATGCGCAGTGGTAAAAGGTCTTACGCGCACGCGTAAACGCCTATGCGCAGAAAGTTTTTAGCTTTGAGGTCCGGATTATGTGTTCGAATTAACAACTTTTGACTGTATTACTTCAAAAGAATAAATTAAAGTTAACTTTAATTTTAAATAATTCTCTTGCGCCATTTGTTTGTTTTAAATGGCCACCTGAAGGCTTAGTTATTAATAAGACTCTATGTCAGTGATATATAAATATCCCAAATACAGAAGCTACTGACATAAAGAAACACCCGATCTGGCCCCACCTAAAAATTTTCTTCTGTACGCACAGAAAAATTTAATGAAAATTTTTAGGATTTTTAGGTTATTATAGGTTACTCTGAACCTTCTTTATTTATAGTAGATGGCAGTGCAAGACAAACCAGCCCATATATTTTAGCCAAGTTTAGTTTTTAAAGAAATCTTCCAGATTTTTTTTAGAACATAAAAGGAATTGTTTCAAAAGAAATTTCTATGTTATTTTCGTGGCTGTATGCTAATCTCCTTATTCTATATTAGTTTTAAATTTTTACCTTAAAATCTTGGCCTAAAATTGAACGGCGAACATCAGGTGTGCTCAGAGTGAGCTCACTGATAAGACTAGGACAAGACTAAAACCTGTATCTTTGTTTCTCTGCAGCTCATCGGTCAGGTCATTCACGACAAAAAGGTGGATTCATATCTGTGTTTCCTTTCCTGTTTTTCTTTTTCTTCTTTTCCCTTTTTTTTTTTTTTTTCTTTTTGGAAGGGGGAGGTTTGGTTATCAACTAAGAAATTGTTGGGGTGATTTACTGAAGGTCAGGGGTAATTTTATCAGTTAGCTGTTTGGTTTTCCCCCAGAGCTTTCGTTCAAGAAGTTTTCTTAGTGCTACGTTTAATAGTTTTGAGTTGTAGATGTTTATTTAATTTTATTTTAAAATTTCAAATTGTAGATATAATATTAGTTTATTTTTTGGATTTTTAATTTTCCAAATGGATCAGAGAGGGCTGACCATTTCTGAAGCACTGAACGTGCTACACGAATTGCTTTCAGATAGTGAATCTGATACGGATCACGGTACATGTGCGAAACATGCAATATTGGGTTGTGCTTTTTCAAAGGTAGTGTCACTTTCTTCGAAAAGTACGACCATGAAAAACATAGATGAAAATGTAAATATGAAATGTAAATATCATATAACCAAGTTACTTTTTTCCATTTACACGCATGTAATCATCATATAACCAAGAAGAGCTTTTTTAGAGTGGGGAGTGTAGAGTAGTAGGCCTTTCCATGGCACACCCTGGGAAATACTAAATCTGCTACGGTATTCAGAATTTAGTGTTTTTTAATCATAGGCAAAATCTCTTACTCTTTTATGCACTTCCCCGCAATGCTCGTTTCAGCACTCTTTTCGAAGCTCTATTCATTCACCGCGCCCGCTTTGGGCACATCCACAGAATTAAAATGATAAGGCTAGCTTCCCAAAATTTTACCTGTGTACTCCTATAGGCCTGATTAGACTTCCTTTTTTTTTTTCTTTTTCCGAAATTCCTACTTTTAAAGGTTGCGTGCCGGAAAGGGTTAAGCTAATAACCTCTTGTGTTCAAGATATATGCCGTATCTAATTAGGCAAGTATGTGCATAATTCAAAAACAATGCAAATATATTTCATAACAATGCCCCTTCATTAAGGGGCCAGCACCTTTATTGCAAACTGACCACAGTTTGAAAAGACAGAAATCTTCACACAGTATGCTAGCACAGAAATGCATAAGATCAACTTTTATCTTATTAGATATTAGGCACAGAAAAGTTCAAGATCTGATACCCAAAGCAAATGAAAATTCTACTGTATGGTAGTGCTTCAGCATAAATTAACCAAACTTTTTTTTTTAATTATACACTAGAAACTTAATTTTCATAAAAGAACTGCCTTTAATGCAGGAATACTCTTATAAAGTTCTACCTTTTAGAAGAGAATGGTATAAATGTATTAGAATCATTATGAAGATATTCCTCAAAATTATTGTATAAGCTTTATGAACATTATATTTTATCAAATTAAAACACAGAACTTTCCATATCAGATCATCAACAGTATGTAATACTGGTTATATTATTCGTGAAAAGCCAAACACTTTACAAAACTCTTTTGGAAATATTTGGGAAGAAATGAATACAAATAATTCACCACTTTTATTCTAGATACATAATCAGAAATATGATAATCCAGACAAGAACACTGGTTAGCAGAGGCTAATGGCTATCTCAAAACTGCAGATAAGAGTTCATTCGAAAGTAAGGCTTGGCTGTACATGTGTTTCCCCTTTCTTACAAACATAAAATCAGTCGCCATATATGATGCACCTTGGAGAATATTAGCAACAATGAGGCTAAATGACTAATAAATTCAGCTATAATTCTAATAAATTAGCAAATGCTCATCTTTAGATAATAATAATAAGAAATATAATTTTAATAAATTTCATTTAGATTTTTTTACTTTTAAATAATATCTTAAATATAAAACTACTCACCTTTTGTCAAACAAGATGCAAATTCAGATATTTCTTCAGTAAAAATAGCAATAAGAACAGGAATTATATCAGATATAAACTGTTTTACTGCTTCAGGTTTCCAACAAAAGTTAAGAGAAGACTCTGCACTTGATAACTGTTCTATATCAAGTGGTTTTAAGCCACCCCCAGCATAAACATGTAAATATAATGGTGTTTTACCATCCCAGTATACTTCTTGTTCATCTTTATTTTCATTTAGTTTATTCATACTGGCTAGCACAGCTCGAAGAAACCCTCTAAGTTGAGTCAAAACTTTTATTCTCCAATCTTGCGAGGTCAGTTTGTTATTTACATTTACAATCAATGCTCTTTGCCGTTTTGATCTTCTTGATGGAGAAGATACCATGTCAAGAAGGTTGTAAAGGACTTTAAATGAATGACATATCAGATTTGGATGCGTTTCTAGCATAGCACTTAGAAGATCCAATGAATCCTTTCGAACTTCAAAATCTGAACTGGTCATGGCACATATAAGATTGGAAGTCAAAAGAGGAAAAGAACATTTGATTTGCATTTCTGTAGTTGTTTCCAAAATTTCTTTGATTACACTGATTGCTTCATGCCTTGCTTTAGGCTCAGTATCATAGAGAACTTTAATCACTTTGCTCAAAATATCAAATATATCAGGAACAATATCTTCTGCATTTTGTTTTACACGGGCCTTTATTTTACTCAAAGCTTCACACCTTTTAGATGCATTAGTATGTTCAACATGACTAAGCGTATCCTATGAAGAAAAGAAAGTATAATCTAATTAAAATAGTTCTCACACAAGTTTGATGAGATTTTGAATCATTAGAAGTATAAAATTTTATTGGTACATATACAGAACAGAGTGAAATAAAATAATACATGCACATGCATGCATGCACACACCTAAAGACATTTTTAATTGACATTTTAATTACCATATATTTCAAAATATAATAAAATTCCAAATATAAACATAATATAATAAAAAAGATGTAAGAAATTACACAGAATTTTAAAAAAATGCTTGCATTAAAAATATATAAATTATTCTCATATGTTCAGCATTTTTAATGACCTTATATTTGGTTAAAAAAATGACATTTTCTTGACTTAGGATGATACATGTTGAAGATTTAAAAGCTAATCAAATGATTATAAAAGCATATGCTAAAGTAAAATGCATGCCAAATTTAGTGATTTTATTGTTAGATAATGATTTTAATTTTGTGACCCTTTTTTCTTTTTTGATGATCTGAGTCACTGGAATTGTGGAATATTTCTCTCTCAGTCATGTATTGCCAGTTTCTGAATGCTATTTATAAGTTTTAAACTGCAAAAAAACTATTGCTTTCTTCTCATTAGGTTCCAGTGTCTACTTGTTTTAGCTGTTCTTGGTTGATTGTGATCATGGCCAAAAGGTAGACTTTTTTAAAATATGAAATAAAGGACAAAATGTCTATTTTACTATGGTGGCATGGGAATGTACTCATTTGCAAATAAGAGTGAATGTTCTGTGTGCAATGATAAGATGCCAGTGCACAAGGCTGAGGTGTGAAATTTTGAAAAGCCAGCTCTATGGATTCTCTAAAGTTTTTTTTAAGTGAAATCAAGACTCTGTGTGTATGGGAAAAACAACATGAAAGAATTATATAAGAATCTTGTGAAAACTATTTTAATGCATCCTATAATCCTTGTTTAATAATTAAAATTTGCATTTTAAACTGCTCAAGTCTGTCTTCATTTGATAAATTTATAATGTTTGCCACCTTATGATAAGTGTGGATAATTTGGCCAGTTTAAAAAATTGTCAACTTGCATTTGATAAATAACTTTTACTGAAGCATATTATCAAGATTAAATAATCTTAACAGATATTATTAAAAAAAGTTTGCACTAAGCATGTAATATATGGCATTGAGAAATATTTTTATAATGTTCATAAAAATTATCAGTTGGATATCAATTAGCTACATTATTAAATATAAAGAAAGATTTAAATTATTTAGAAATGTACTTGGTGCTTTTAAATTGTTCATATTGTGCAATATGAAAGATGTTACATAAAATTTGAATTATAAATGAAAGATCTTAATGTTTTGCTGTATAACTAACAGTCTACAATACAGCCTAAAAACTGATGCAAGGTTTATGTGGAAGAGCAGAATATAATATCCTGCTTCATTCAGCAGCAACAGTTATGAAGCCACATGAATGATAAATTGAGTAATGTAACAATTCAAAAATTTTGAAAAGCCAGCTCTATGGATTCTTGCTTTTACAAGCAACATTATTTTCAGTACTTCCTGATATCTGTATTCCCAATTTCAACATTCAGTAGAACTGTTTTACTTTTGACATATTTTCAAGTATATACACAACAGCAGTGAACTCGTACATCATACACTTTTTTCAGTACATCTGGATTTATGAGTTATGGGTTAGTTGATTATTAATTGTGGATTTATGAGATTTATTACCATATTTATCACGAGAGTGCAGAATGCTGATGAGAAAGGAAGCATTGGCAGAATATGACATTTTCCTTCAGAAATATGGTGTTCTGCCCAATAATACAGGATGAAAAAACTCACATTCTATGAAGTTGTACTTCATAAATGACCAAATTATATGGAAATGCAATATCGAAAACTGCATGCGGAATATAAGCATGCAGGTTGCAAAGTAATTTGAAAATAGCCATAGTTCCTTTGCAACAATTGTCCACTTTATTAATTACTAGCAGCTTCGTGGCCAGCCTTCGTCTGGCTTTTAAATGTACCGGGAAAATGGCTGAAGGGAACACCAAACGTTAAATTTAAAAACTGCGTAGAATTTTACTCTGCAGAACAACTTCTTAAAAAAAAGTTATTATGTATAAAAAAATTAAAAAAAAATAAGCAATCCCTTAATACAAATATTTAATTATCCTAATAAAAAATTAACCAACATCCCGTTGCCTCTCTTGACCAAACGTCCAATATTAAATTTAAAAACTGTACAATTAACGTCCCCATTTTTCAAGTGGAAACAGTGCTGATTTTCAACAGTCAGCAGTCCACTGGTACCAAGGCTGCTCCTTATCATCATTAAATTCGTATATCACGTGATAGTTACTTCCCTGAGTATTAAGATATAGGTACTTTTGCCTCAGACAAAAGCAAAAAAAATAAATAAAATAAATAAATAAAAATAAAATAAAAATAAAAAAAAAAAATAAAAAAATAAATAAAAATAATGCCAAACACATATTTCTAAAAGAATGAAACTATTCAAAATGATGCGATTTCATCAAAAATCTATCAACAACAATAAGACAGGAAAGTTGTTGTCAAAATCACATTTTTAAAGATGTGAGAAGTGTATTCAGAAGCTTCATTTAATTTTTTTTTTTTTTCTAAATACAAAATATTATCATTTTTCCAAAATTCTTTTTGTAAAAGCAGTCGCAAGAATGAAAGTTTAATGTGTCCAAAAATCAAAGAAAAATAAACTGTACATTTTTAAAAATAAACTTTTTTAGAAAAAATCCCATTGAAAAGGTGTTAAGCTCCCTTTGTTAAATAAATTCGTATTTAATCGATTTATTGAAACACGAAATTTATTTTAAGTTCGTAAAATAGCTAAGTGCCTACGTTTCATGACGATGTGAAAATGGAGTGTGTAGAGTAAAATCTCGCTTTCCTATAGCCCGTTATGTCTCAAAATGACGCGATTTCATCACAAAACATAAAATAAAAAAATTCTAATTCAAATTTCGAAAAAATCACTTCGAGGTGCACTGGCTCTTGTCTAGATGCACCTATGCACCAAATATCATAGCCATGGGTCTATTAGCTTACGCGCAGTGCGAACGAAAGACACACACAGACAGACTCTTTCTTTTATTATATGTAGAGATTCAGCAAAAGGCTACAGATAAGCGAAATTTTGTAAATAAAAAGTGGGATAATTACTGTCACTCATAAAGAGAGCCAAACAAGCTTTTTTCTCCTATTTCCAAAGTCATCAGTGAGTTGACAAATTTTAAAGGGTGGATCTTAATTTTCAATCTTAAAAATAAATTTGATAAACTCTGGTTTTAAGGGAAAGATAGTTCTAAGTATCCATTTGATGTAACGCTTACCAACTTTGAAATATGAAATAATAGGTCTTTTTGAAAGAGGGAGTCATGCTTCATAAAAATTCTCAGTTATCGAATTTCATTTAAGGTCAAATGCATAATTTGAATAATTAAATTAGTTACAACACAATTTTTATAAAAAATAAATTAAAATTTAGAATTACAAACTAAATGTTAAGCTATGATGTTTGGTGAACTTCATTCAATTTTGTAATTTTTTTAATATTTCATACAGATGAAAACTTGGGTAGGAAAGAAAACATTTTACATGCTTCCAACACAGTGAAAATAAAATTAATATGCATATAACTGTGTGGAGAAAATCAATTACATACCATTTACAAATTTAAGGCAAAATTAAATACACATACTTACATTAAACATTTGTTAAGTTTTCATAAATTGCTGTACAAATCTCTAATACATTAAAATAGTTCAAACCAAATAGTTGTTGGTTTAGCCTCTTTTTTTTTTTTTTTTTTTTTGAAATTTTCCTCAATATTTTCTTGATAGCATATCCTTTACTGGGTTCATATATGTTTCTGCACATGGAAATTAAATACTTTTAACCCGTGAGCGGCTGCACTGAGTCCAACGGACCCGTGTAATTAAACAAACCTTTTTTTCAAAGAACGTCTATTTCACATAAGTTGTTGAGGTTCATTGTAGTCATGTCTTAGGTTGACCTCTTTATGTTGTAGAGACATTAGGTATTTTTTGGAAGCAGGAAAGAGGAAAAATTAGCAACACCTTTGCCGGGAATCAAATTGCGGACTTCTCAATTACGGGCTGAGCATGAAGACCACTACATTACGAAGGCGGGAGAAATACCTTATAACCTCCCCCTTTTAAAGAGTGACTGGGGTTTTTAGAGGACCCAATCGCCAAATTCTGGATGAGGAGAATCATCATCCAATGCCCTTTTAGTTTGGGCGCCACTGTAGAGACATTAGGTATTTTTTTCGGAGGCCAGAGAGATAAAAAATATGCAATGTCTTTGCCGAGAATCAAACCACGGACCTCTCAACTATGCGCTGTGCAGACCACTACACCACGAAAGCTCATTAAGAAGGCAGGAGAAATACCTTATAATGTTTCCGAAGTTTTCTCACTGGGGCTTTGATTTGAAGTCTTGATTTTGATTGGATCGGGTCTTTTAGACTCAGTGTGCTATATTTGTATTACAATTACCGTAATTTCGCGCGTATAGTCCGCGGACTATCTGTGTTTAAAATGCGAATTTTTGAAGCTGCGGACTATCCACCAATGCGGATAATACACTGGCTGTTCACGGTTAAAATCGTTGAATTTAAAAAAACACGTGTCGTGAACTGCCCGATGATCAAATATAAAAAAGCACGAGATTCCAAGAAAACATTCGTATGTATCGTATCGATAGTAAACATAGAGCATAGGCAGAACGAATGAGTAGTAGCAAGTAGAACTCCTAAAATCGAGGCTGGCGCATCAAGCGATGCCAGGATATGAGCCAAAGAAAGTCTTGTATGAGCACTCACTTAGCGCAACCAGAGTCTTGTATCCCAGTATCCTTCGCACTGCTTTAGCGCAACTACCGGGAGGGGGAAAAGTAGTTGATTTGTCAGTTCAGTTTTTAAGAGCCATAGTAGCAATTA